AATAACTAAAAAATAAATATAAATAAATAACAATGATGCCAAACATTGGATTAACTTTTAATATAGTTGCGATATGAACTCTATTATAACACTCTCCTCTATAGGGGTTGCATATTAATTGGAGGTTAATCAGACTCAATTACAATGCAATGCAACGTAGAATAGTGTTTTAATTAATTTTTAATTGTCATTATTTATTCATTTATTTATATATATTTAATACCTGTAAAATTTCTACCTTTAATGTTTTGTTTTTGGTAAAAAAATTAATTTCATTCATTCATTTATTCATTCATTCATTTAAATTAGTTGCATGGACACACACACAATTCATGTGTACATAGACACACACGCAATTCATGTGTATGCGAACACACACAATTCATGTGTACACTAACACACACAATTCATGTGTACACTAACACACACAATTCATGTGTACATGGACACACGCAATTCATGTGTACACAGACACACACGCAATTCATGTGTACGCGAACACACACACAATTCCTGTGTACACGGGCACATGTACACATGGATGCATACAGGTTTACCAATGAATATCCAAACCGTCAGCTACAAGTATTTTTCCCCCCAAGTATCAAATTCTACAAAACTACAATCTCCATTGTCCAGCTCTAATATTAATTGCATGACATATGTTTCAATATGCTAATGATATGAATATTAATAATATTTTGATTGAGTTATTGTATTCAAAAATATTCTTCTATGCATAGATTAACTACCAAAATATTAAAAATAAAATAAAGAAAATAATGTAGAAAATTAAGATTTTTTTGTAAAATTTACATTTTGATGTACATGGAAATATTCGCTATTTTTTGTTTTCTTTACCATATAGTCAACTTCCAACTTCCAAGCTAGTTATCAATTGGCTTGACTTCTACATAAAAAATTATATATTGTCAATCTGATTTTGGGGGATAAAATGGTACAATAATATGAACGAAATTTTAACACATTTTTTTTGTTAAAAACATGCTATACTTCCACACTTCAAAAAGTACCTTGTAAGTCACTACAATGTATATATCTTTTCCAAACCTTGCAAAATTTGGAGATACATGTACAGTATATCCTTGCCATAGGAAACAATTTTTTTTTTCACTTTATTCATCAATTTTTTCTGAACTACAATGTCTTTATATTTTTATTTTATTTCATGATATATCAAATATGAAAAAATTGAGAAAATGACAACATTTTTAGTTTCGTGTAGCAGTCTACCTTAAATTGAAATGATGAATCAAATAACGTAATTAAACATGCCTCGATAAATAAACATACCACAGCTGTTATAACAAACACTGAATATTCTTTTTCACGTAGTTCGTTTTTTAACAATAAAGTACCGTAAAATCTGTATTAGAAGCCGCATCCCTAGTAGAAGTCGCACCCATTCTTTTTTGAATAATTGAGAACCAAAAATTCATCATTTCTCATATGTGTAGATGCTCTAATAGAAGCCGCATCCCCTCTATTGCATTGTACCATTTTAATAGAAGCCGCGGTTTCTAATACAGATTTTACAGTACCGTACTAAACATCACATTTCAATGAAACTTGGCACAATCTCAAATTTTTAATTAACTTTTATTATGCATCCAATACAGAAGCTCTTTCTAAACTTTCTAGGATTTTAATGTGGTTCTATATTCATAAAATCCAGATAAAAAAAAAAAAAAAAAAACGTGTCAAAAATCCAGTAAAGTGAAAATGCAGTCACTGTAGCTGATTGTGTTTATGACATTGAAGGTAAAATGTCAATCTCGGACACAGCCCAGTTTTTCATTTGTATTCAATTTGAATTGCTTGTTATTATCTCGCTTCAGATTATCATGTGTATCATTTTAAAAAATATGTTTACCGAGTTCCCCAGTGAGTTGAAAAGGTCAATGTTTTGACTAGATCTTAATATTTGCGTGGGTTGACCATTAAAACTTATTTTAATTCTCTCCACAATTCACTGTAATTATGATGATTTGAAAATGGAGGAAATTGAATACATACAGATTTTACAGTAAGTGATATGTTTCTGATCTAAATTTTTCGCTAGAAAGTTTTATGGCCAAAATGAAGAATAGCACTACGCCACTAGAGGATGTTTGTTTACTTTCGTTTTTTCAAAAATTCTGACAAAAAAACCTAATAATTGTCACCCATGGTAACCAGAAACATGATTTTTTTTCTGAGCCCAACACAAAAAAGTAGGTATCTAATTTGCATATGATTCAAATAAACTCCCTTCGTTTTTACATGTTAGCATATAAATTTGCATATAATTTGAATAAATCCCCCAAGTTTCTATATAATAGCCTATAAATTTGCATATAAGTTAAATAAATCCCCTAAGTTTTTATATATTTGCATATAAATTTGCATATAATCTGAATTAATCCTCTATATTTTTCAACTTAATAAATAAATCTGCATATAATTTGAATATACTCTCTAAGTTTCTATATTATAAATTGCAAGTCTTCACAAGTTTTTGTGTTGTAAATTCTATTGACTTTAGGGATGGTCTTTCATTGTCGCAAATTGTAATTTTTTATTTAAGACTGTACGCTTTCTAAACACAATTTTAACAGCGAGAAATAAACAATAAACAGCTTTAACCTTTTCACCACCAGACTTTTTTGCCCAAAATTTGTCTACACTTATTCTTATCTTTTTCAATTTTTCTAGAAAATGAACCCTAATTTTGGAGCCAACAGAAGAAATTTGAGTCAATTTTCAGTTTTTACTCAAAAAATTTGTCTATTTTTGTTCCAATGTTCTGAAGAAAGTGCAGACTATAAATGGGATGTGATTGTGATGAAAAGAGAGAATTGTTGGGCTAGATGATTTTGACATAGTGTGCTCGAGGAAGAGGGTCCACTGTCAGCCAGGGGTTGCATAATCAACACTCGAGCTAGTAGTTTTTTGCTACATTGTTGGTTTTAACCCTCATAGCACCAAAGTAAACTTCAGACACCATCCACAAAATACTGTAGAATACTTTATTTTCGCTTAGAATTTATTTTCGCTATTTTCGCTGAAGGGATGATTCCGTGAAAATAAAATCCAGCGAATATACTGTTTAGCTCCGCTGTCGACTTTATCGAGCGGAGCTTATCATATGAGTGATTGTCCGTCGTCGTCCGTGTCAATGTTTTACTTTTTCGACTTCTTCTTGAAAACTACAAGCCTGAATGCTTTGATACTTGGTGTATATGTACCTTGGGTAGACCTCTCTCAGATTTGTTCATTTCATGATGATATTTTCAATTCTCTAATTTTGGTGAATATTTTTGTCATTTTTGGTAAAAAGTGATATTTTCAACTTCTTGTTAAAAATCGCAAGTCCAATTGCTTTGATATTACATGTATAGGTACGACATGTGGACCTCTCTCAGATTTGTTCATTTCATAATGATATCTTCAATTCTCTAATTTTGGTGAATATTTTTGTCATTTTTGGTAAAAAGTGATATTTTCAACTTCTTGTTAAAAACCGCAAGTCCAATTGCTTTGATATTTACTTATATAGGTACTACATGTGGACCTCTCTCAGATTTGTTCATTTCATGATGATATCTTTAATTCTCTAATTTTGATGAATATTTTTGTAATTTTTGGTAAAAAGTGGTATTTTCGACTTCTTGTTGAAAACCGCAAGTCCAATTGCTTTGATATTACATATATAGGTACTACATGTGGACCTCTCTCAGATTTGTTTATTTTCTAATGATATCTTCTGCTCTTTAATTGCCATGTGCATTGCTAACAGCGGAGCTATCTCAGCCGACAGCCTGCTTGTTTTCCTATATTTCACATTCAACTCATCAAAAATCAATGAAAATAAATTCCCTAAAAAACGGCCAAAAAGCCTTTTCAGCGAAAATTAATTCCAGCGAAAATATAGTATTCCACAGTAGTTCCATTTATAGTCTGCTCTTTTCTGCATAAAATATTGCGAAAATAAGTCACACAACCCTTTCACTGTCAACGAGATCTCGGCGACCATTTGCAAATAAGGTCTATTTTACACTGTAACAAATTTTAAATTTTTTTTTTTTGAGAAAAAAAATCGATTAACACCTTACCTGATAAGATAATTTTTTCCCCATTCATTTTGCTGTGAATGTACTGTAAAAACTTTATTTTCTCTTAGAATTAATTTTCGCTATTTTCGCTGAAGGGAAGGATTCAGTGAAAATAAAATCCAGCAAATATACCTTTTTTCCTATACTTTACATTCAACTTGTAAAAAATCAGTGGAACTATAAAATTCCATACAAAACACCCAAAAATTCTTTTCAGCGAAAATTAATTCCAGCAAAAATAAAGTATTTTATAGTACTGTTGATTACGGGCTAATACTAAAACAAATAATTGTAAACAGATTTTGACATAAAATATTGCTACTTTACTAAAAAAGTCTTTTCAGCAAAAATTAATTCCAGTGAAAATAAAGTATTTTACAGTATTTGAAAAGTTCAATTGCCATATTAACAGTGGTGAGAAGAATACAATGAGATTAAAGAGGAGAAATGTATAACAACTTGAGAAAGAGCGTAATGCGAAGAGATTAAGTAGAAAAAATGTTGAACAATTGGAAAAGGAGAGAAATGCAAGGAGATCAAGTAGAAACCAAATGTATAGATTAGAGTATTATTTGGTAGTAAGAAATGAAATTTATGTTTTGAAATTTCACTATTTCAAGAGTTTACCCAATTCTTGGTATCAACTACTGTAAAATGACAAATTTTCACTGGGTTAAAATTTCGCTGATTTACCATTTCAGGAATATTCAGTGAGTTTTATATTCATGATTTGATCATTTAGATAATGTATTTTATGCTAAATTTTACATATTCACTGGGTTTTAATTTAGCGCATTTTCCAGTCACAAAAATAAGCAAATAACCCCTTTACAGTATTCCCTTGCGGGCAAGGTTTCAATAGTTTTGCTATGTTTTCTGTTAACAGGTGGTGATTCCTTTACATTTGGATGCGGCTAAGAGAAATTCTAATCAACAGCTTATTGAGAAAGTAGATGACATAAAAGAATTCAAGAAAATTCTGAGAACAAAAACCAATGTCAT